ATAACAACGTCACTGAACGAAAAAAACTGAACGATACTTGACATGGCGAGAAGCATGCTAAAGGCCAAAGGTATGCCAAATTGTTTTTGGGGTGAAGCTGTCTCATGCACTGTATACTTGTTGAATAGGTCACCAACAAAGCGCGTTGATAATCTTACTCTTGAAGATGCGTGGATTGGTTATAAGCCAAGTGTAAGACATCTCAAAGTGTTTGGCTCCATTGCTTATGCTTATATTCCAGCAGAAAGAAGAAAGAAACTTGATGACAGAGGCGAGAAGACAGTTTTTATTGGCTACAAGTCCGGAGGTTAGAAACTCTACAACCCTATTACAAAGAAGGTGGTTGTAAGTAGAGATATTATGTTTGTTGAATAAAAAGCTTGGAATTGGGATTTGGAAGCACAAAACGATTCACGGCATACTCTCCTTGATATTCTTGAAGATGGTGTCCCTGTTGCAATTGAAATAGCACCTACGACCAATGCTCTTGAAGCTCCAACCCCACAAATATCATTAGAAGTTGAAAGACCAAGAAGAAATCACCAACCATCAGTTCTCTTGAGAGATTATGAAGTAAGTCCATATGATGATATTGATGCAGATGGAGATGTAGTACACTTTGCAATGTTTACAGATTGTGAGCCAGTCATGCTTGAAGAGGCTATTCAAGAACCTAAGTGGATAAATGCAATGAAAGAAGAGAAAAAGGAGATTGAGAAGAACGACACATGAGAGATTACTAAAATCCTGCAAGGACATAAAGTAATCGATGTGAAGTGGGTTTTCAAGATAAAGATTAAGGCGAATGGTGAGGTTGAGCGGCATAAAGCAAGATTGGTGGCGAAAGGCTACGAGCAAAGGTCTGGTTATGATTAACAAGAGATATTTTTCCCTGTTGCTAGAATTGTAACTCTTAGACTAATAATTACATTGGCTACACAGAAGAATTGGAATATTTATTAGATGGACGTGAAGTCAGCTTTTCTTAATGGGCCACTTGAAGAAGAAGTTTTTGTGAAGCAACCATTTGGATTTGTGAAGAAAGGGTGCGAGCATAAAGTATACAAGTTGAAGAAAGCCTTGTACGGGCTGAAACAGGCGCTGCGAGCATGGAACAAAAGAATAGATTTTTTTCTTTCGAAGAGTGGATTTTAGAAGCTCCCCTCCAAGCATGACTTATATGTGAAGATAAACAACTCTGGTGATATACTACTATTATGACTTTATGTTGATGACTTGATTTTTTCGGGCAATAACATTAGTATGATTGGAGAGTTTAAGAAGTTGATGATGCATGAATTTAAAATGACAGATCTTGGCTTGATGTCTTATTTTCTCGGTATTGAAGTGGTTTAAGGCGATGATGGGATTTTCATATGTCAAAAGAGGTACTGTGCAGAGTTGTTGAAGAGGTTTCAGATGTTTGATTGCAATCCAGCTAGAATTCCTTTGGAGGTTGGTACTAAATTATCTCGAGAAGGTGATGTTGCACAAATTGCTCCTATTTATTTCAAGCAAATTATTAGGAGTTTGAGATATCTCACATGTACAAGGCCAGATATAGCCTATGGAGTTGGTCTAATCAATAGATATTTGGAGGCCCCTCGCCAATCTCATCTACAAGTTGTAAAGAGAATTATGCGGTACCTAAATGAGACTTATGATCATGGTTTATTTAATTCTTCATCTAATAATTGTGATGTTGTAGGCTATTTTGATAGTGATTGGAGTGGAGATCATGATGATCGTAAAAGTACTTCTAGCTATATTTTTAATTTTGGCTCCGACATAGTTTCATGGTCATTGAAGAAGCAGTCTATTGTTGCACACTCAACTTGTGAAGCAGAGTATGTAGCAGCAGTGTTGAGTGCTTGTCAAGTAATTTAGTTGCGTAATGTGCTAAGTCAAATTCATATTCATGTTAAAGGTCCTACAAATATTTAAGTTGACGACAAGTCCGTAATTGATTTGGTGAAAAATCTAGTCACTCACTGAAGGAGCAAACATATTCATACTCGTTACCATTTACTACGAAACAATATTGAGAAGAATGAGATCGTGTTGGTTTATTGTAAGTCTAAAGATCAATTTGCGGACATCCTTACGAAACCTTTGAAGTTTGAAGCGTTTATCAAGTTGAAGTGCATGATGAGAATAAAGACTTTAAAAAATTAGGATTAATGGGGGATGCTGAAGTTAATCCTTATTCTAAAATTATTTGAGTTTATTATCTATAGAAATTCGCCTCTTTTATAAGAGTTTGTTTTATTAGGAATTAGTTCATATTATTTATCTATAGGCTTTGAGTAGTTTGGCTTTAGAGTTCTTATTATATTAGAACTCTTGATAGATGAATTTTGTAAGCCTTTAAATAGGCATCCATGCATCTTTGTAAAAAAAAAAAGAAAAATGGGTGTGTCTTTTATAAGAGTTTGTTTTATTAGGAATTAGTTCATATTATTTATCTATAGGCTTTGAGTAGTTTGGCTTTAGAGTTCATATCATATTAGAACTCTTGATAGATGAATTTTGTAAGCCTTTAAATAGGCATCCATGCATCTTTGTAAAAAAAAAAAGAAAAATGGGTGTTAGTAGATGATCCAACAAATTAACTGATCTAAACAAATTCAGGATCAAAACTAGGGTTTCTGAGGGGGAATCTTGCCGTAGAGGAGAGCAGAGAGAGGAGAATCAGCTTCAGCCATGGAATGAGCTTCAGATGGCTAAGAGGCTTCGATTATCTCCTTCAAATTCTCAAGATCTCAAAGCAAGATAAGTGGAGAGAGATCGAAGCTGAATTGGATCGGTCCCCTTTTTATAGAGAGGCCCGGAGGCTGGAAAAGATTTCGAGTTAAATGTTAACTCTCAAGACCTGGCAGCAAGTCTTCCACATCAGTGGTCATTTTTCTTAGTCAGAGTCAAAGAGTTTGTAGAGTTTCTGGCCTCCTGTTATTCTATCGCGAGAGACATCAAATTCAAAGATTTTTCTACCATCTCCCGTAGGAATTTGAATAGCCATCCTTACTCTTCTCTCGTCATCTCCATCTTTTAGGCCTTAGCTGATAGATATGAAGCAATCAAGGGTTACAACTTTCACAAATATATCAGTAGCTTTTCTCCTCTTTGTGCTTCTCATTTGTTGATAATATTGTGTTAGTAATGGGTTTAGTCCCATATTGGTTATGAGGACAAACCTCACCCTCCTCTACTTATATATATATGTAATTCCGTCTAGATTGAAAACCTAGACGGAAATTTTAAATTAATTAAATATTAGTGTGGGCCCGCCATCCAAGACGGAATTTCTACATACCGTAAGTTTGTAATACAAGCACGTCCTTTTGAAATATGATTTCATATTGTACTTCATGTAAATTGAAATATAATTCAATTTTGTGTGTCCCCGAACAAACTTTGTCTATATGTATATCAGACATGAGAAATATATTGTAAACACAGCAAAATCAATTTGTGCAAAATTTTAACTCCTATATATTCTTACATCCTAGATGGAATTTCCGTCTAGAAAGCAACATAGACGGAAATTCCGTCTAGGATCACTATTCTAGACGAAAAATCCATCCGTTTAGGTGCAACCAGACAGAATTTTAAATTCCATCAAGGTTGACTTCCATCTAGTTAGATTAACTTAGACGGAATCCTGTCTAGGTTGAGTCAACCTAGACGGAAATATCCTGACGGACTTTCCTAGACGGATTTCCGTCTATATTAATCTACCTAGACGAAATTTTGGGCAACCTAGATGTTTTTTCCCGTCTAGATTGGTCGTTTTTCTACTAGTGTGATAAGTTTAAATGATACAACTAGGAGCAAAAAAACTGATATGCCAATACAAGTTATCAAGTTAGAAACATGATATCAAACTTATATTTTATGTTTATCAAATTTATGAATACAATTACTTATGCATTTGTTTTACCATTTCAAGCGACATTCAAATAAATTTCAAAGTCCTTTAAATTTGGTCAAAAAGTCCATTCATAAGGAATTAATGTTACTTTGTCATATATTAATTGTTACCTCACAATCCAATAAGTTACTTGGTTATTTTTTCACACAACAATTAAATAACAAATATAACTTTTCGCTTTCCAGTATTATTAATAATTTCTGACATGTTCCTCTTAATTATTTACCCATCCTCTGTCTAAAATTCATTACAGGCAACGTTATAAGAGTATAACGGGTATCCTTGTCCTATGAAGGGCCTATATATATGACAATAATGCCACTTAATCTTCATCAAGTGAATAATTAAACAGGCACAGAGAAGTCTCATAACATTAGTTGGCATGAGATCAAGTCACGATATTGCGTATAAAAGAATCTCCTCATATGACGAATAATACCTTGATGTTATTTTGTACTTAACATGTTAGTATATATGCTATTGAATGACTCCATTACAGCCTGATTTTGATTACATTTTTCTTTCAATATATATTTCAAGCCTTTGAATTGCAAATCCCATACCCAAGAGGATGATAAGCGATAACTATAGTAATAGTCCTCTCCCCTTTCTTTCTTGTAATACCAATCCTTTGTTTAAATCCTGCGGAACCCACGAAACATTAATCCCGTGAATTTGAAGAGGAATCGAAAGTTAACAAAACCTTGTAATTACTTTCTAATTTCTCATGCATTTCATCAACCAACACCAACCCAACTTAATTAATTAACTCGGCCAAATTGAATGTCTACTTGCATCTCTCTTTCCAATAGCAATCAATCAAGAAACCAAGAAAAATGTGCACTCCTCCTCCTCTTCTCTTAAGCTAGCCATGAAAAAGATTCACATAGGAAGACAATGCAGCGGTGGAGCATTTAATCCAAAAGAAATTAACCGCTACCAGAATATTAATTAGTTAGCTCAAAAATTTGCCCTATATAAACCCTCTTTAGCCTTCTTAATGTGATTGTATACAAACTCATGAAAATGGCTACTTGGTCTCTAGCTTGCGTACTCTTTCTTGTTGCTGTAGTGAATGGCGTCAATAGTGAGCCATTGGTGAAGCAAGGAGAGAATGGTGACGGAGTGAGGAAGCCGGAGTGGTTCTTCGAGTCCGGGCCGGGTTGGAATTGGAATTCCGGCAACGGGTGGAGCTTCGGGCGGTCGTTTACTTTCGGAAACGGAGGCGGTGGAAGCATGCTAAAGGCCAAAGGTATGCCAAATTGTTTTTGGGGTGAAGCTGTCTCATGCACTGTATACTTGTTGAATAGGTCACCAACAAAGCGCGTTGATAATCTTACTCTTGAAGATGCGTGGATTGGTTATAAGCCAAGTGTAAGACATCTCAAAGTGTTTGGCTCCATTGCTTATGCTTATATTCCAGCAGAAAGAAGAAAGAAACTTGATGACAGAGGCGAGAAGACAGTTTTTATTGGCTACAAGTCCGGAGGTTAGAAACTCTACAACCCTATTACAAAGAAGGTGGTTGTAAGTAGAGATATTATGTTTGTTGAATAAAAAGCTTGGAATTGGGATTTGGAAGCACAAAACGATTCACGGCATACTCTCCTTGATATTCTTGAAGATGGTGTCCCTGTTGCAATTGAAATAGCACCTACGACCAATGCTCTTGAAGCTCCAACCCCACAAATATCATTAGAAGTTGAAAGACCAAGAAGAAATCACCAACCATCAGTTCTCTTGAGAGATTATGAAGTAAGTCCATATGATGATATTGATGCAGATGGAGATGTAGTACACTTTGCAATGTTTACAGATTGTGAGCCAGTCATGCTTGAAGAGGCTATTCAAGAACCTAAGTGGATAAATGCAATGAAAGAAGAGAAAAAGGAGATTGAGAAGAACGACACATGAGAGATTACTAAAATCCTGCAAGGACATAAAGTAATCGATGTGAAGTGGGTTTTCAAGATAAAGATTAAGGCGAATGGTGAGGTTGAGCGGCATAAAGCAAGATTGGTGGCGAAAGGCTACGAGCAAAGGTCTGGTTATGATTAACAAGAGATATTTTTCCCTGTTGCTAGAATTGTAACTCTTAGACTAATAATTACATTGGCTACACAGAAGAATTGGAATATTTATTAGATGGACGTGAAGTCAGCTTTTCTTAATGGGCCACTTGAAGAAGAAGTTTTTGTGAAGCAACCATTTGGATTTGTGAAGAAAGGGTGCGAGCATAAAGTATACAAGTTGAAGAAAGCCTTGTACGGGCTGAAACAGGCGCTGCGAGCATGGAACAAAAGAATAGATTTTTTTCTTTCGAAGAGTGGATTTTAGAAGCTCCCCTCCAAGCATGACTTATATGTGAAGATAAACAACTCTGGTGATATACTACTATTATGACTTTATGTTGATGACTTGATTTTTTCGGGCAATAACATTAGTATGATTGGAGAGTTTAAGAAGTTGATGATGCATGAATTTAAAATGACAGATCTTGGCTTGATGTCTTATTTAGAAGCAGACGCCGCGAGCATGGAACAAAAGAATTGATTCTTTCTTTTAAGAAAGTGGATTTCAGAAGTGCCCCTCCGAACATGTCTTATATGTGAAGATAAACAACTCTGATCTTGGCTTGATGTCTTATTTTCTCGGCATTGAAGTAGTTCAAGGAGATGATGTGATTTTCATATGTCAAAGGAGGTATTGTGCAGAGTTGTTGAAGAGGTTTCAGATGTTTGATTGCAATCCTGTTAGAATTCCTGTGGAGGTTGGTACTAAATTATCTCGAGAAGGTGATGGTGCAGAAGTTGATCCTAGCTATTTCAAGCAAATTATTGAGAGTTTGAAATATCTCACATGGATGAGGTCAGATATAGCCTATGGAGTTAGTCTAATCAGCAGATATTTGGAGGCCCCTCGCCAATCTCATCTACAAGTTGTAAAGAGAATTATG